ACTGGGGCTGCGTTCTGCTTCCCCTGTCTTCTCAGCGAGCGTGTTTCTCCTCTTCACATCTCCTAGGTCTCCTGTGTGGTGTAGGACAGAAATTCCACTTAGCACACTGCATGTGATTCCCTGTTGCCCTTGAGACTCTTGGTGAACTTTTTCCAAAAGCGGAATAAACCAGCACTTTAAAGCTATAGGTATAACTCAGTTTTGCCAGAAACATTTGTCTTATGTTCTTCGATGTACTTCTCCAAGGGGATTAAAGGGAGCTGGTTATAGGGTCTCTTGCATAGCTCTGAAACTCTTGGAGCCTAGAAGATCTTAGGTCACATGGAAAGTGTTTTATTCTCTTTGAACCCTAGGAATTGCATTTAGTTTTATTTCTATCTAATACTTGTTAAAACTTTCAAAATTTATGGGTCTTAGTTATATGGAAATCTAGTAAATAATGGAAAAGCCTCCTTTCAATTTGTGTTTGGGACCAGTTAAGAGAGATGCAGGAGCCAAAGAGATGGAGATTATAAGGTTCATCCTGTTCTTTATAAAATTGGAAATGTAGCTCTACATTTGAGGCCAGGATAGTTTGCTAGCTCCCCCTGCCCTCGAACAATTGGACTACCACCCCACAAGTGGCAGTCTCTCAGAGAGACAGCCGTAGAGCACATAGCTTTCTATTGGCAGGCCAGCTTTGAAAGGGGAGAGTTGAATGGAGTGTGTCAGTTTCTTCTTCCATGTTCACTGATCAGAGGGCTCAGGTGAGAGAGCAGATTCCTCTGCATGGAGAGATGAGGTATGGGGGAGTTAGTGTTCCCTTAAACAGCTGGGAGAGGTAACCCCTGACATCTTTGGTATTTTCCAGTCATTCATATAGTATCTCTTTATAAAGCTAAGCAATGTAGTCTTTTGAAATGGAGCATATTAGTAACCCATGGGGCATAAGCCTAGTCTGTTTATATTAATCAGTGAATGTGGTGGTAAGGTATAGCACATCCATGAATTGGCTTTTCAAATTGGATTCAAATCAGCCAGTAAGGTTCTTTATTTATTTATTTATTTATTTATTTATTTATTTATTTATTTATTTATTTATTTATTTTTAGATTTTAATCCTTAGTATTGGTGTCTGTAGATTTCAAGTTCATATTGCCACTAAAATTCTACTTACCTTTGTATAGGAGAAAATATTTTAATGCTAACATCAGTCTGTATCTAAACATTGTCCCTGATGTTAATATGTATCCAAAAATGCATACTGTTCGAAATACTGTATTCAAGAGATACACCCGTTTAATTCAGATTTGTGATTTTAGGCATTAAAAATGTTAGTGTGTAGCTGATTTTTTAACTGGAATGTGTATCATTTGATAGTCTTAATTACAAGTCCTGTTACAACAAAAACGACTGGAACTTGTTTTCATATTAAAGACCTTTACATGCAAAGGAGAATGTTACTCATTTTTCTTTGGACTTTTTTTCTGCTGGACTGGTTTACGGAGAGGGTTTGATATGGGGCCGGGATTGTATTTGTCTTGGACTTTAGTTAATTTAAAACTTGGAACCTCAATCCCTTGTTTGTTTGCTGAGTGGACCAAAAAAGAGAATGGTGGGATGTCTTGGTTAAGAACTGCCCGTGTAGATACTTCACATATACTTTAGGAGGAATATGGATAAATGAAAGTTCACAGGCAGAACTAACTTACTCATAGGGCAGCGGTACTGGGGATAACTTCTGGGTATGGAGTCATTGAATTTTCAGGTAAGAAATTAATAATGAAGTGATGAGGAATTTCTGATTACTGTCTAGTAGAAGTAACACTTAAATCTTGTTTGATAAATTTGTCTTAGATGAAACACTGCAGCTAAGGTTTGGCCACGTGGCCCAGTTGCCTCAGTGATGGACTGCTGGAGTTGAACGGTAAAGGTTCAGGCCAGGCTGCCAGGTCTAGTCACTAGGGCGCTACGTCTATTCTATTTACAGTTCTTTGGAAGTCAACATGGTTGGCCTCACACTTAAAACTAGCTGCAAAATTGATTCAGTGTCACTGAAAAGATGGCCAGCCCAGTATTGAAGACTATGAACATGCCCTGGTGACATTCCAGAGCATATTTTTCTGTGGTTTTCATGACTCTTTTCCTGTCTAAATGAGAAAATGGAACTCTGGGTAGTAGTCACATTCTTCTGTTTATCTTTAACTTTTAGCAACTTTTTGAGATGTAATCCATATACCATACAATTCACCCATTTAAATTGTACAATTCAGTTGCTTTTAGTACATTCAGAGTTGCTCATCTGTTACCTTACTCAAGTTTTGAACATTTTCATTAGCTTAAGAAGGTAACCTGCATGCCTTAGCTGTCAATCTGTTCACTTTCTAAAAGAAAAAAAAGGACTTTCTCTAGAAACCACACAACAGGCTATATATAGTAAGCTAAACTATTAGCAGAGATATTCTATAACTCTAAAACGCGATATTTAAAGTAATGGGTAAGATAGCTATTGTTACTCTGTGGTTTTTATTGAATAATGAAATATTCATTTTGTTTCTTAGGAATGCTAGTAATAAATGTTATGTAACACAATGTAGCCATGTGAGTGATATCCTTTGTCACATTTTATTGGTTAGAAGTAAGTTACAGGTCCCATCTGTGCTCAGAGAGGAGTTTACACAGAGATGTGAGCACCAGGAAAGGAGCTCATAGGGACAACCTTAGAGCCTCTGCCACAGCCTCCAATTAGAATACTTTAAAATTGCTGCTTCCAGTTTATACATAATTTTAATTACCTTTCCTCAGCTCCCTCAGCTGTAGATGGGTACTGAATATTTCACCAGTGATTAAACTGCACCATAGAAGTGGTGTTTACTTGCCATTGATCTAGAACAGTAATTATTATGCTTGGAACTTCTTTATGTTAGAGTATTTCCTGGCTTACTTTGTCTACTTCATGAAAAAAATTACTGAGAACATTAGTCCCTGGGCTTGATGTACTGGCCTAGATCTGATTTCAGATCTTAAAAACTTCATTCAGGCTTCACCTTCGTCCCTGACTAGTCACATATGCCACCGATTTCCAGGCTTCTGTGACTCTGGCTTCTAGAGTATGAATAAAGTTGGTGAAAGTATTTTGTAAACTGAAAACTTGTATGAATGAAAGCTGGTATTATGGCATATTAATATTATGATTTGAGAATCTGGCATTTGGAATGCTAGTTCACTAAGTTGTTATTTAGACAAAGTGTAACTAATCTTTGAACTGTAATCTCGAATCTTGGCTGTTATTATTATTTTTTCACCTGAAAGAGGTTTTATTTATTTTTATTGCAGTATAACTGACAATATTATATTCATTTCAGGTGTAAGACTTAATGATTGAATATTTGTGTATATTGTGAAATGATCGTCACAATAAGTCTAGTTAAAATCCATCACCACATATAGTTACAATTTGTGGGTGATGGGAACTTTAAAGATGTACACTCTTAGAAACTTTCAGATATATAACATTATTATTGACTATAGTCACCGTGCTGTACATTACATCCCCAGGACTTACTTATTTGTAACTGGAAATTTGTAATTTTTGACCAAATCTTAGTTATTGTTAATACTAGTGTACATTATTATTAATGGAGCACTTTTAAAATTCTAAATATTTTGAGAACCTTAAAAATAGCTACAAAACCCTCAAAATATGAGAAACATTCATAAATTCTAGAAGAAGAAAAATAAATAACCAAGCCTGTAAACTTTTGCTTGTATCTCCAGATCAGATTTTAAAAGAGATTCTGATTATTTACTATGAAATTGAAAAAATGTAGATGATATTCAGTGGAATGTTTTTCTTTCTGTATGTTTCACTCTAGTTTATTCCTACACATTGGTGTGTGTGAAAGAGAGAGAGAGAGAAAGAGAGAGGGATAGACAGAGGGAGATGTGATTGGTTTTATATTTTTCATTGGATTTGCTTTTTTACAAAGCATAGTTAGAAGTGAATATGTTGATCTCCAGGTTGGAATTTTGGAGGTGATGTTTTTATTTAATGAAAATCTGTAACAAGTGAGCACTTTTTTCCATGAATCATCTGTTTTCACTCCATTGCTTTATCTATTGAACAAGGGCTAAAAGTTTCAAATTTGAATAGCAAATGACAGTTTTCCTCGTAGAACCATTGGACTATTCACCCCCACCTCAGCATGGCTTTCATGTGAACCGGGCAGTACACTGAGGTGCTGGTTCCCAATCTCTGCCACAATCACCTGGGTATCTTTAAAAATACTGTTTTCTGCCTCATTTCCCTAGATATTCAGACTTAACTGCTATGGGATTTTAAAAATCACCCCAGATGATTCGAATATGCAGCAGAGTTTGTGAACAGCTGTACTAAGGGAGTGAGGACCTGGAATAAATAATGGTGTGTAAGGCAGGATAAGAACTTTTTGGAAATGAGGTTTATAGCTCCTGGGATTCTGCATTTGATATTACAGTTTGCAAAGTTTGAAAAAGATCTTATATTTGGAAATGAAACTGGTTTGCAGAATGAGTTTCTTCGATAAATGAAAATTGGTTTTATGAATCCCATTAAAGCTATGTGTATAGATTACCTATATTTTGGTCTTTCTTAATTCAGTGTGTAAAATACCAAGGTGATACAAGAAAAAAACAAAAAACACCTCCTGAAATCTGGCTCAGACTGTTTTAGTAAATTATGAGAAAACAAATTTCTCACATATTAATCGCTACTAGCTAAAATAAAAAAAGTCAATCCCCGCTGGGTGTGGCTCAGCGGTTGAGCATCCACCTAGGATCCAGGCGATCGGGGTTCGATTCCCTGTTTAGGGCACATGCCCGGGTTGTGGGCTCGATCAATGACTTGACTCTCTCATCATTGATGTTTCTCTCTCTCTCTCTCCCTCTCCTTTCCTCTCTCTGAAATCAATAAAAGATATATTTAAAAAAAAAAGGTCAAAACCTATTTAAAATGTGGAAATTGCTTCCCAATATTTTAACAGAGAGAGACTGAGAACACACAGCATCGAATCGTCGGGAAAACTGAAGATCTCCCCTGAACAACACTGGGATTTCACTGCAGAGGACTTGAAGGACCTGGGAGAAATCGGGCGAGGAGCATATGGCTCTGTCAACAAAATGGTCCACAAACCGAGTGGACAGATAATGGCAGTGAAAGTAGGTGAAGTCCATAGTTATTTTTGGTACTTTAATCCATTAGGTGCAATTTCTTGGTGTAGTAATACTACTATTCTGTTCTTTCTTTTGTGGTAAATGTGGGTGTTTATAAAATTGATTTTTGGAATTCTTTGAGGGTGTTTTGTATAGAGGTTGTCTTATTGGTGGCACGTTTTCTATCTATGGAACCATGAGTGTATGAAGTATGCATGTTCACTGCACTTTTGGCATGATGCATTAACATGTTTTAAACTTCAGGCCCTTCCACTGCCAAGGTGAGTTCAGGCTGGGCGGCTGCACCCCTGGGAGCAGGGCAGTGCTGCGCAGAGCCAGGCGGGGAGCTGGAAGAAGAGGCAGCACACTGGGTTGGGCAAGGTGCGGGGCTAGGGCTAACAGCAGTCTTACTGAAGGTTTCCTGGAAACCACACACATGCTGTTGCCACTAACCTCAACCTTACTCGGTCCTGACCGGCTCGGCTCCTGTTTGTTTATTTCATCTCCACTCAGTACTGCCCTGTTCCCTGGTTTGAAAGTTGTATTGAAATGCATACCTTGTGATAATGCTGTCACATTCTGTCCTGTTGTGAGTGTCATGCCACTTAATATGTTCATTTAAAAAAAAAATCAAGAATGGCCAGAAATGGAGATTGACCCATTGACTGTACCTGGCAGGCTTATGTTGGTACTTGTAATGAACTGTTGTTTCCATCCTACTCTGAGGAGCCCATGTAATTGTAATTTGTTCATTTGTTTGTTCAGATGTTAATGAATATTTGCTCTGTGTAAGATATTTTAGGAAAATTGACAATTGGGGTGGGTGGGCAATTTAAAGAGAAAAAGAAAAAAATTAAGATATGGATATACTGTCACTGACCTCGAAATTCTTAGAGTGATAAATACTGTGCCAGTTTGCAAGACTTGAGAATGGGTTTGCAGGCAGTCTGAGCTAGCCACCTTCCTCTTAATCCTGTTTGGGCTTCATGAGAGGAGGAGCCTCAGTTTCTTATTTGGTTTTGGGAGTGGATTTATATTATATTGATATAAAAGGCTACCTGTGTTGAAGTTTATTGTGAGCAAAATGTTACTATTTTAGCCTCCTTCATTGTCCGAGCGTTTCTCTTTGCTGGGTCATATAAAAGTAATGAGAAATCAGTGGTGGGAGAAATTTATGTTTTTCTCTGTGGGTTCTTGATCTTGTTTTTGGTCATATGGGAGCTATAGACTTTTCTCTCAGGAAGATGTATACATGTATTCATGTATTTTGGACACAACTGTAGACCACTAAAGATGAAGACACTAAGACTTTGCTCTGGATTATCTGTTGAAATAAAATGTTGTTTTTCTTAGAACTGTGAATCGTTTCTCTTTTGATTTTGTGCCACTGCAGTGTAAGTGGAAAGAAAGTTGTTGTATTTAGACTCCTCTGGATGAGTGTTGCACTGCCCTATGTTATGTGTTCATGACACCTGATTTTACTTAGCTGGGTCTTAAGGGAAATCTATCCTATATAACTAAGTTCTAACTTTCCCCCTCCAACACCAGGGAAAGCACTTTTAAACAAGTGTCCTGCTAGTTTCAGTTTGTGCTGTGTGTGCTTCACTGTGTTGATCTACATCTCGATCTGTTTTAGTAACTGGAATGGCTTAGCCACGGTTAATAGATTTTAAAGGTAAATAAAGAAGGTACTTCCTTTGGACTTTAAAAACGTTTTTCTTAATTTGATAACATTTGGAACTGTATAATGCTTACTCAAGTTTTGAAGGAATTTAAAAGTGAAAATAGGAAATTTTCCTCCATTTGTAATTTGACCTTATTTTGAGAGCCTCTGTTGGGATGCTGTTAAAAATCCCAACTCTTGCCCTGGATGGGTAGCTCAGTTGGTTGAGTGTCGTCCCTTGCACCAAAAGGTTGCCGGTTCGATTCCCAGTCAGGGCACATGCCCGGGCTGCAGGCTTGATCCCTGGTTGGGGGCATGCAGGAGGCTGCTGATTGATGTTCTTACATCGATGTTTCTCTTTCTTTTGCCGTCTCCTTTCCTCTCTCTCTCTTAAAAAAAAAAAATCCCAACACTTAAGAAATACTTCTAAGGCAGACTTGACCTACAGTCACATTTATACTCACTATTTGATACTGTCTACCTTTGTTTATCACCTTGAATTCTTGAGCAAGCGTGATAATTTAGCATAAGGAGGGTGGTAATATATTAATCAATGTATTGATGGGACGTACTTGTTACCAGTTTGATGACTGATATATGCCATCTACTATAAAATATATTTCTTGTTGGTCTCTGAAAAAGCTTAGCCTTTCATCACACCTAAGACAGTTTGTTCCCTCATTCCTTGGACACACAAGCCAGATTGACAAGTACAATTACATAGAAGCAATGCACAATTAAGGAGTTAGATTTGACATTGTACATGTAGAAGTGAGTTACTGAGCACCCACTGTCTCTAGCTCTGAAATTAGGACTGTAGAGATGTAAATGTACTATGAGACCATGGTTTACAGTCCTGTGAGGTTTCCATTGCTGTGGTAAAATGAGAAAGACACTTGAAGTAGCTCTGTACTAGTGTTTTAATGGGCACCTTGGGACTTTAGAAGGATTACTTTATTAGATATTAATCTCATTCTGGAAATCATCCTTAAGATTTGCTTACAGTATTTGTACAAAGATGAACTGTTGTGTTAGCCTGACAGTTAAATTATTATTTCTCATTTTTATTTTGAGGGAACCCTTCCCCAAGTTTATTTTGCCAAATATAAGAAATGTTTGAAAAGATGACTTTAGTTACCAGAAATAATTACCTCCAAGACTTAATCTAAAAATCAGTTCATATGTAGCAAATCAGACTGAGTAAGATAACATTGTAAGAGTAATACTTGAAATACTTTTTTGACTTTTGGCCTGAGGACAGTCCACACACCCAAGGAAACAGCCTTCTTCTACGAGTGGTGGTGATACAACTAGTTTGTCTAACTCTGCCTGAGTGACTGAGTCACAGCTGCCAAGGGCAAAGCTGTGTCACTGCGTTCTAGAGTTCAGGAAGACAACCTTCAACTCTGGCTGGGTACTTCAGGCTTTGATCAGCAGCCTGAAGCCCATTTTGCATGATAGTGAGATAAGCACTGAATGAAGATGCTACCCGTGCAGTCACTGTTCTCTAAGAGTAAAGTAGGTGCCTGGCTAGCTCTCTGGCTGGATTTATCATGAAAAAAACCCAGATTCAGAACAAACGTTTGAAGAAGCACTCAGGGTTAGGTTTTTGACATAGAATTAGAAACGTCCAGGAGAGTTAGGTCCATGGATGATCAGAATCAGGATGTCAAAGTAAATCCAGGGACACAGGAGTAAAGAGTTGGAGAGAGTAACTGAAGTGCTGTGGTTCAGGCCCATGGGCTGGATTTGAGTGGAGTGACACACACACTGCTGAGAGGGAGGAACAATCTGAGCCTTCAAACCCTGACAGGGAGCCCCCCATCTGGCCCTTCCTGCAGCGTGAACCCTGCTTGTTTAGACTACCAGCTTCCCTAGTGTTTCCTAACAAACTCATGTCCACATTGATTTACTAAAGGCATGCATGACCTGTTCCTATTTGTAGGCTGTGAGAGGAGTGTAGAAAAGAATGGAAATGAGGGGATATAAGGGAATGAAATAGCTGTTGCTAAAGATGGAAGGTAATGGGATTGTTACTTGGAGGGTTAATGCTGGAATAAAGCTGTCCTGTCATTGGAGAATGGAACTAATATTGGACAGGTAGGTGGGGATAGGAAAGTGTTATGTTAAGACTGTCACCTTTGATCATTATGGTGAGCTTTTAGTCTCATACTTGTGGAGGTATCTGGGTTAATCAGAAGACAGATTGGCTACTTGAGGCTAGGTACTTAGGCCAGACTGAATTTGTGATGACTTTGTATTTAAGGGTTTCAGGTTGAGGTATTTTTCCTGTCTTGGTGATATGTCTAACTTGTCTTATTTCTTCAACACTCAGTGCTTTTCCTCTACTCTCCCAAGACTACTGTTGCATTGATTTAAGTGTTGCTGATCCTGGGCTGGTAACTTGACCTGGATTCCTGCATTCCTGCTTCTCTTTGGTATTTGGATCTTGACTTCAGTGTCCTTGACCTGGAATTGAGACCTATGTTAACACCAAGGCTTGCTGGGAAGGATCAGAGCCCTGCATCTGACTGTATCTGCATCCCACAGTTCAGCCCTTCTCTGAGCAGTGTGGGGTTTTATCTGCTCATTAGGAAGGCTTCCTTGGTACACAGGTGGTACTGCATATATGGGAGGGCAGGAATCGGCAAAGTATGCCTTGGCTTGTTTTCCCCACACTGCAGGGGCCCTGCCATTTCTGTTAGAAGTTCCATTACCGAATAATTTTGGTGGGGAGTGTGAGCATTATTAGAGAATGTTCATTTTAGTCTTTTTAAAAATATATATGTTTTTATTGATTTTGGAGTGAGGAAGTGGAGAGGGAGGAGAGATAGGAACATCAATGATGAGAGAGAGTCATTGATTAGTTGCCTCCTGTACGCCCCTCACTGGGGATCAAGCCTGTAATCCGGGCATGTGCCTTGACTGGGAATTGAACCATGACCTCCTGGTTCATGAGTTGATGTGCAACTGCTGAGCTAGTTTTTAAACATTGGTCTTGCACACTGTTCTGAAAGCACTAGAATGATATTTGATATGAGTGGCCTTAAATTGAAAAAGTATTTATCTGATGGTGCAGAGTGCTTTGTTGGGCAATTCTGTTGAGTTTCAAAAGGCCACAGTGCTAATGTTTGGTTATCCAGATCACTTGTGGGATGCAGAAGTTGTGGCTATTTCGTTTTGAATTCAGACTGATTCCAGTGTCTTGTGCTCTCATCTGATTGGCTAGGTCATGTGGCTTAATTAGGAAATACATGATTGATTGAGCCATATTATTTTATGCTTCCTAATGTTGCTTAAATGTTGTGGTGTGACAGTTGAAAAGTGTTAAGTGGATCACTTC